CCATGAACCTCCAAGCAGGCGCAGCTGCGCGCGCGGACAATGGCCTTCCAGCTGCGCCAGCGGCAGCCCGACGCCAAAGGCGTCTAACACACAGCTCCAACCAATATTTCTTTTTTTGGGTGGGGGGGGGGTTTAGGGTTTAGGGTTTAGGGTTTAAAGGGTTTAGGGCTTAAAGGGTTTAGGGTTATGATTACAGGGGTTCAGGGTGTTTAGGGGGTTCAAAGCCTACTTGTGAAGCTTGGTACTAGGTAGGGCCTCATGAGCTGTGGTGTAGGTTTGGGTACAGATGACTTTGCCTAGTTGCAACTAACTACCCATCATATATAAGGTTTACCCGAGAGTCCTGGGAGTACCTATCTAGGACCCTGCAAGGGGGGAACCCCAAACTCCAACCCTGGGTAGGTAGGCTCTCGAGGCAACACCTGCAAACCCTGTGAAAACATATGCCATATGCACCAGACTCCAGCAATCTCGAAGCCTAAGCGTAGCCTGTGACATCCCCAGTCTTTCAGGGCTTTGGGTCTATGGACTGCTGGTGCTCTTCAAGTGCTCCGTTAGGGTTGGCGTGTGTGGATGTGTGGCTGCGTGGGTTAAGGGGTTTAAGGAGTTCAGGGGTGTCGAGGTCTAGAGTCCAGTTTAGGGGTTTGAGGGGTTTACATATTATGTTTCACTTGCGGCGTCAAGGGCTGAGGGCTTTCAAATCCTCCGCGTGTTTTCGCAAGAAAATGCCAGAAGCACACATCCTAGCCCGAAACCCTAAACCCTAACTAAACCTAGACCTAAACCTAAACCCAAACCCTAAACCTCCGATCGAGGGCGCAGTAGCACTGCATTCACAGCCCTGGGGAGTCCCCTGAAGCCAGCCCCAAATCCCCCTCCCTCCCCACCCCAAGAAACAGCCACGGTTTAGGGTTCAGGGTTAGGATTTATTAGGCTTTAGTCCAAGGGCTCCCTGTAAACTACAAATGCTTTATTTTGTGGGGTCTTTTCGGCCCTTGGAGCACCGGAAACCCAGCGCCTATGTCGGGTTCAGGGTTGAGGGCTTAGGGTTGAGGGTTAGGGTTCAGGGTTGTGGGTTGAGGGTTTAGGGTTTAGGGTTTAGGGCAAGCCTTCATATCCAACGGTGAGAAGCACCACATCGTTTTTGGGCCCAGCGGTGTTCTAATGCTAATGCCCTTAGGGTAAAAACCCTAGACCCTAGACCCTAAACCCTAAACCCTAAACCCTAAACCCTAAACCCTAAACCCTAAACCCTAAACCCTAAACCCTGAACCCCAAACTAGTGCAGGAGCCGTGCAGCTGCTGGACCTAGAGGTGATTGCGCCGTGTTTTGCGGATCTTCGAACTGGGTTGGTTGGTTTAGGGTTTAGGGTTTAGGGTTTAGGGTTTAGGGTTTAGGGTTTAGGGTTTAGGGTTTAGGGTTTAGGGTTTAGGGTTTAGGGTTTAGGGTTTAGGGTTTAGGGTTTAGGGTAGTTTAGGGTTTAGGGTTTCGGCTTTAGGGTTTAGGGTTTAGGGTTTAGGGTTCGGGGTTTAGGGTGTGCATCAGTGGACGCGCGGGGACTGCGCCTTCCCATGGATTTACGGGTGGTCGCGTAGCTTCGTAGCCCCACCACCCCAGCTATTCTCTGAGAAGGCTTCGGGGGGCCGCAGCCCGGCAAAGCTTGGGAGGGCCAGTGAGGCCCCTCAAGGCAAGCAAAAGCCTGAACCACAGCCGGGGCCCCGACAGGCCAGGAGCGTAGGCGACGGTCGTGGGAAAGATTCGCCAACTCACTCGGCATGGCCATGTCCGACAGGCTCGAGCGCCCTCGTAGATGGTCAGCGGCGCTGTCTCGCCAGGTTATGGTGTAGGGTTATATAAGGGTTTAGGGCTTCACTTAGGGGTAGGATTCGTGTAAGGACTCGTGTGATCCCCCTCGACAGCTGAAGCCCTACAAACCCGACCCGGATCCTCCGTACACTAGTCCCAATACCCCCAACACATTGAGACAACCAGTTGACATGCTGGCACCGGAGCCTTCGCGCGACATTCCTCGCAGCCAGGTGGTTCTTCTCCAGCTTCCTGTCTTCGGGGCACGAGGACGGATGACAGCCACCCTACACGCTGAACCCTAGGATTCTACACCCTCCACGCCCATGCAGGGGCTTAGCGTTTAGGGTTCGGCCTGGGATTTTGAGGGTTTGTGGTGGGGGTCAGGCGATCAGGCGAGACACCGAAGTTGCCACGGAGTCCGGGAGTTGATACCTAGTTGCAGGAGGGCTTAGTTAGTCCGAGCGTCTGTTTAATTGGTGGCCCCCCCACCGCAACAAGAAAGGCAGGGCGCCGCAATAATCAGACCATGGCAATGGATTGATTGATTCTCCTCAAAAACAACAGGAAAATATTGAAAACAATAGGAATGTATGGAATCTCTATTAAAACTGAATAGCAAAGTATTGATTCTCTATTTAAAAAAGGTTGGAATGTATAGCCTGCAGACAGATTTTTGAACCACCCCCCCTCCCCCCCCGGGGGAAATTTTCTGTAAATGTGGTGGTATTTCCCCAATACGAAAACCCCCGTAATGTAAGTAGTCTTGCAGCCGGATTTTCGACGAACAAAACTCTTTAAATGTGGAGGTATTAATTAAACAGATGCTCGGATTAGTGCTGAAGGCCTGAAGTAAGGGTTGAGGGTACCCCAAAGCCCCAGAAAGAAAACAGCATCAAGACGTCTCGCGGCGGACTGGTCTGTGAACGCCTCCGACGGCCAGGCGAAGCAGGTACCACACTATAGTCAAGACGTCTAGGGCTTCATGTGGAAACCTAAACCCTAAACCCTAAACCCTAAACCCTACACCCTGAACCCCAAACCACAAACCCACAACCCTAAACCCAAAAACCGAAGCCTTAAGCCCCAAGCCCTAAGCCACAAAGCCCTATTCCCCTCGAATCCCCAAATCCCTAGCAACCTCTCAGCAGGATCCTCCCCAGAGGGTGCTGTGGCTGCAGCCTCCGCGGCGTGTGTGGAGGCTCCAGCACCCTTCGTTTGGGCCTTGGTTTAGGGTTTAGGGTTTGGGGTTTAGGTTCTAGGGTTTAGGGTTAGGGTTTAGGTTTAGGTCTAGGGTTCGGGTTTACATGAGTTGGCCTCCATGTTCAGATTTGGAAGCTCAACCCAAACCCTTAAACTCTAAGAATTTGCGGTAGTTATCAGTGGGAGTTTAGAAGTTTGTTCGCTTACTTCCGTTCGCGTCCATCCCTTTCTGTTCTAAATGATTCAGGCTGGCACCCCTTTAGGTCGTACCCCTAAAGGTTCCCCTTAATGTACGCCAGACATGGCCCCCGTTCCCTTAGAGGATCTTTTGAAGGGGTTCCCCAAACCCAAGGGTGCCGGTCCGAGGTAAAACCCCTAGAATGATCCAGCTTCCCCCCCCCCCCCCCCCCATCAAACGAACATTGCGAACTGCGCAACGTTGCTTGTAGGCCATCTACAAGGCTAAGCTTTTCAAGGGTGTAGGGCTTAGGGTTAGGGTTTAGGGTTTAGGGTTTAGGGTTTAGGGTTTAGGGTTTAAGGTTTAGGGTTTAGGGTTTCCGCTTGCTGGCCTCACCAAGGATCTGTCACAGTGCTGGAAGCGGGGTGCAATTTTTGTGCTTGGCTTGGCAAGCTCAGACCTTGTTTTTAGCCCGGCCCATATACCCTAAACCCTAAACCCTAAACCCGAAACCCTAAACCCTAAACCCTAAACCCCAAACCCCAAACCCAAACCCCAAACCCCAAACCCTAAACCCTAAACCCTAAACCCTAAACCCTAAACCCTAAACCTCGCAGCAACACGCGGCCGAAGGCCAGCGACTGCAGCAGTGTGCAATCCAGCAAGCAGCATGCCCGCAAAGCAGCACAGCAGAAGCTTCTACCTCCCTCAGAAGACCTACCTGAATACCGTGAATACCGGACTATAGAGAAGGGCTTCAGGAGTTTAGGGTTTAGGGTTTCGGGTTTAGGGCTTGGGGTTTAGGGTTTAGGGTTGTATAGGGCCTAGGATTCGGAGCTTCGGGTTGCGGACTCGGCGCCCTTGGAGCAGGCCGGACTGGCCACGGGTGGAGGGGAAGAGGCGGCGGCGCAGTGCCTCCGCGTTGAGGGCTCGTGTTCTGTGTAGGGTTTAGGGCTCAGGGTTTAGGGTTTAGGGTTCCCTGGCCCTTGATCCCTCAGCCCGAAAGCAGAAACACAGCCTGCCCATCAAACCTGGTTTGGGGTTTGGGCTCAGGGAACTCAGGGTGTGGCGACAAATAAGTCCACCAAACCCTAGAGCCTGAGCCTGTTGAGAATGCGTTTGCATCGATCTTTCGCGGGGCTTCGCATACAATCACCACCTTTTTTTGGTGTTATGGGTTCCTAAGCCTGAACCCTAAGCCCTAAACTCGTAGACCCTATAAATTGTATGTTGCTTGCGTCTCTTGGGGATTCCGCAGTTTCGGTTTGCGGTTGGTAGAAATGCCCTGGGTACGGGCTTGAAATCTGAACGCCATAGGGTTTCGAAGCAGGTGGGTGCCACCATATGGCTGTTTAGGCACCCCGGACAGCACGCCAAGAGGACTAGCTGAGTGGGCACACTTTACACTTTTTGGGGTACTCTAATCTCCGATAGAACTGAAAGTATACACTTTTTTGGGGCTTATGAACTCAGCAACTAAGCATCCATGCAGAAATGTGGGTTCCTGCCGCATGTTCACGACGCGGAGTGATGCAAAGCCGGGACCTAGTCGGGAGCACAGTTTGGACCGCGGAAGGTGCACGGGACCTAGGGCAAGGCGCGATGTGAACCCTAAACCCCAAACCGTAAACCCTAAACCCTAAACCCTAAACCCTAAACCCTAAACCCTAAACCCTAAACCCTAAACCCTAAACCCGAAACCCTAAACCCTAAACCCTAAACCCTAAGGCCGAAACCCTAAACCCTAAACCAGGATAAGTTGGTGTGCTGTCCATCGCTCGCGCAGTGTCGTCCTTCGCCACTTGGAATGCGCACGGCGCCTCGGCCGGAGCATCCGGTCCAGGGTTTAGGGTTGCGGGTTTAGGCTTAGGGTTTGTGCATATGCACATGCGCGCCGCTAGGCAGAAACATCTTTGTCCCTGTTCCAAAGGTAGGAAGCCCGTAATTCGTGCAAGCATTACTTGGAGAATTGGACAGCAACCCAGAACCCGCAACCTTAAAGCCTACGTCAACCACAGCCTGGCAGGAAGCCAGTCTCAGGGACTTCCTGCAAACGTGGCCCGTCATGCAGGTATGCAGGGTTTCAGTTAGTTTTTCAGGGATAGGGTCTTACGTGGGGTCCAGCCCCTTCCTCCCAAAGCAAAGCAAGAGCAGCCCCAGCGAAACCCTAGAAGGCCGTCCGGTTTTTTGTGGCGAGGTGGGAGGACTTCGATGGCTGGGCATCTTCTCTCGAGGAGCATCTAGGCCACGGCGGGGGGAGTGGTAGGGTAAAAAGCCCTAAGCCCCCCCCCTAAACCCTAAACCCTAAACCCTAAACCCTAAACCCTAAACCCCAAATCCTGAACCCTGAAGTAGTGGCGTCTGAAGATGGTGTGGCCCTCTTGTGAGGTCCGACCCGAAGCCAGGGACCCTAGTAAACCCTGAGCTGCTCCCCAAATGGGAGGGTTTAGGGTTTAGGGTTTAGGGTTTAGGGTTTAGGGTTTAGGGTTTAGGGTTTAGGGTTTAGGGTTTAGGGTTTAGGGTTTACGACCACAGGGGACCAGCTTTGCCCTTGAAACCGATTTTTTCGGGTTCATTGTTCAGCCAGGTCTCAACATGTGATTCGGGGCGCAGGATGAACACCCTAAACCTTTAGTAAGCTTGGTAGCCTGGTTGGTACCCATTTTCCTTTTTTTGGGTTCAAGGTTCCCTTATAAAGTATCCGACCCCACAAACAGGGCACCCTGTCCATAATTATGGCTACCGGGCTACCAAGTAAGAGTTGGCGATGCGCCTTAAGGACTTCGTTGTGTTTTTTTTTCTGGATTAGAAGTTGGGACGGGGCTCGCCTGCATAGGGGTGGTTTCAAAGGAGCTCGGGGGCTCAGGGGCCCAGAGTTTGTGGCGTTCTTAAGGCTTACGAGTTTAGGCTTTAGTGTTTACGTCTCTTCGTGGTGTAGGAGCCCTAAACCCTCAGAACGCCTCCTTGGCCTCCTTTTCAGAGGGATTTCAGTGTCAACCTCGGCCCTAAACACTCAGAGCCCCCCCCCCCCCCCCCCCCCCCCCTTAGGCCCCAGGGCTAAGAGCCCAGGGGCCCGCGCTCACAAGGACCACTCGACCTCGAGGTTAGCCGAGAGCGTTCCAACAACCTTCAAAGAGGCTCTGCTTGGGCGGGCTAAGGGCTGGTCTTTAGGGGAACTTCTTTTTTGACACCTAGGTGTGGGGCTGGCCTTCTTAGAGGAACTTCTTTTCTGGCACAGCCCTGCACCCAGAGTTCTATGGAGTTGCAGCTCTCCGTGTGCTTTTGTGCTTCTCGCGCCCTCGATGCCGCGGCAAATCCCAAACTGTCAATAGCGCGCAAGACTGAGAAATACCATTCCCAACGATATGCATGTTCTCGGCCAGTTCGTGCGGCCTGCTTGTTCGTTCGCAGGCTGTGGAATGCATGGATCTTGCAACACAGAAAACAAATTTCCGATGTTACCACCCCCGTACAATCTCGAAATTAGTCTATCTACATAGCAATCACAGCGTCAATTATCCAACAGGGATATGCAATCTTGGGAGGAGAGGTGGTCCTGGGTCCTAGACAATCTACCACCTGCACCTGGAGATGAAACGGCTTCTGATCTGATCCTCCTCCCTCGGTTTCAGAAGATGAACAAGGAGGCCCTGAAGCCTACTTGGGAGCCCAAATGAGGTCCTACTTGGCCTCCCGAGGCAGGGCCCAAAGAAGCTGGCCCTCCTAAACAATAAGTGGGACTGCAAACCGAACGTCACCTGACTGGATCACCCGCGGAAGGCCAGTCGCACACGCCCTACGTCGTAGACCTGTGCCGGCTAGCCTTCCGCCTCGGGCCTTCAACAGTTTGTTTGAACTTTTGCTGACGAAGAGAAGTTAGCGAAGTACAAGTGATTCTACGAACCATCGTAGTTTGGCCATCTTGTGTAACAGTGTCCGAGCGACAGGCTTCGGAAGTGTGAGGTTTAGGGCTCAAACGTTTAGGTTTCAGGCTGAGCAAATCGCTTCAAGTTTCAACAGTCAGCTGTGGCTCTATCATAGTGGGGTAACATTTTACATTTTTAAGGGTACTTAAACTCAATAAGGCATAAAATTTTAAAATTTTATTACTATCCCAACTATGAACCAGGTGGGTGGATCTAGGTTTTCTGGTTTGAGGGTCATGGGGTCCATGTAGGGTTTGGGGTTTCAAGGCTTCAGGGCGAGTTTGATTCGTTTGGGGCCTAAACCCTAAACCCTAAACCCTAAACCCTAAACCCTAAACCCTAAATCCTAAACCCAAAACCCAAAACGGGTTCTGAGCGATTTTGGGGCTTGCTGGAGGTTTTTGGGGCCATGTTGGTCGTGCTCGCCAAGGAAACTTCGCCATCTGCGAGGGGCGGCTGTTCATTTCGCTGGCGCTGGCGCTCTACAGCCTCATTGCCAGGACTTGCTGGCAGGTTTGGGGGTTTAGGTGTTCTTTCCTGCAGCCGCTCCCAAAAACAACAAAACCATCGTCAGGTCTGCTGAGCCCTGAACCCTGAACCCTGAACCCTGAACCCTGAACCCTGAACCCTGAACCCTGAACCCTGAACCCTGAACCCTGAACCCTGAACCCGGAACCCTGAACCCTGAGCCCTGAGCCCTGAGCCCTGAACCCTGAACCCTGAACCCTGAACCCTGAACCCTGAACCCTGAACCCTGAACCCTAAACCCTAAACCCTAAACCCTAAACCCTAAACCCTAAACCCTAAACCCTAAACCCAAACCTCAGCCATATGATGCTAAAGCGGTGCCAGGGCCCTGCGCGACGATCCTGAGAGGGAGCCCTCGGAGGACTTTAAGCAGGCAAAGGGCGGAGGCCCCGGGCCATGCAAGAAAGTTGTTTTAGTTGGGTTTAGGGTTTAGGGTTTAAGGGTTTAGGGTTTAAGGGTTAAGGGTTTAGGGCTTAGGGTTAAGGGTTTAGGGTTTAGGGTTTAGGTGGGTTCGGAGAGGTGCGCCGGGGGGAGAGGGTGGTTCAGGGCCCAGGGCGCCCCAAAGCCTTCCCCCCCCCCACCCAAGCCCCTCAACTATTTCCAGAAGGGCCAGTTCCCTAAACCCTAAACCCTGAACCCTAAACCCTAAACCCTAAACCCTAGACCTTATAAACCACTCAGCCTCCCAGCAAAATTTCTAAATCTCCAAGCCCCTAAGCCCCTGAACCCCCTAAACCTCGCTGCGCCAAAACGCGCGGCAGGTGAAGAGCACAGCCGCCGCCTTGCGCTACTGGAGGCTCCATACTCTAGGACCTTTCTTGAATCTTAAGGTCAGGGTTCAGGGCTTAGGGCTCTGGGTTCTACGAGAAGTCTGGAGTAGTGATATGCGTGCCGCCCGAGTCAGGCTGTAGCATGTTATGATATAGGTTACGCACCTCCGGTTGATAGCGGCATATACGACCTACCAAGCCTTTGAACCTTGAAGTGGTTGAATGGGGGTTTTCCGGGTTTTGGGTGTCGGGTCTTATCATGAAATCCCCTCCCCCAACCCCGCCCAAGCCCCTGCAACCCTCCTCAACCCTCTACCCCGCCCCGCCCCTCCCCGCCCCTCCCCGCCCCTCAGTTCCCGTCAGATTCACAGGCTTTTGGCAGCTTCGCAAGCTAGAAAGTTTCATCGTCCCATTCATTGACCCTTCCTTCATCCCCCCGAACTCCTGGCCTAATCAGAGCCCCGATAGGCCGTTAGACCGCTGCAAGCCCTCTTAACCTCCTCTTAACCTCCTACCCTGGTCGGCGGAGAGGACCCTAAACCCTAAACCCTAAACCCTAAACCCTAAACCCTAAACCCTAAACCCTAAACCCTAAACCCTAAACCCTAAACCCTAAACCCTAAACCTAACCCTAAACCCTAAACCCTAAACCCTAAACCCTAAACCCTAAACCCTAAACCCTAAACCCTAAACCCTAAACCCTAAACCCTAAACCCTAAACCCTAAGCCCTAAACCCTAAACCCTAAAACCTACACCCCAAACCCTTAACCCTGAACCCTAAACCCTAAACCCGAAACCCCCCTCAAGCAACCCCTGGACCGCAGAGGCCTTGCACAACCTGGCGAGCACCTTCGCCGTTCATGACGACGCCCTGGCGCTGCAGCGGAGCACACTGGAGGAGCCGGGGGGGGTGGGAGAGTAAATCCCCAAGCCCTAAACCCTAACCTTAGACCTAAACCCTAAACCCTAGACCCTAAACCTTTGAAAGCCCCAAATGCAACTTGGTCCGGGCCTGGCCCAAAGTTTGGGCCGTTGCGCCAGGGGTATGGCAGAAGTGCTCAAACCCCTCAACCCGGAAAAGACGCCAGGGTCCTCTAAACTCTAGTTACTCTAGGCCCTCAACCCAAAACCACGTTCTTCCTGGGTTGCGTGGGGAACCCCGGCTTTTGGATCCCGACCCAGTCTTTTAAGGAAGAGGGTTTGGGGTCTTATGGCTGCCGGGTTCTCAAGCTCAGGTTGTTGGAGGGTGGGAAGTTTCGAGGTTTTCCTCAACCTCCGGGGTTCAGGGTTTGCAGTTTGTTGGGTTTTCGGCTTCTCTGCTTTGGGCGGGAGAGAGTTTCAACCCTAGGCACCCCCGAACCCGAGAACCCCAAACCCCAACCTCTTAATCTCAAACCCCCAAACCCCAAACCCCAAACCCCAAACCCCAAACCCCAAACCCCAAACCCCAAACCCCAAACCCCAAACCCCAAACCCCAAACCCTAAACCCTAAACCCCCTCGAAAAATATCTTGCCAGGAGTACCGCTACTATCTCTTGGAGCCTCTAGAGCGAGCCTGCCAGCACTTCGATCTGCTGGAGAACTGATGCTCCAAACTCTCAGAACCCTGTAATGGCAAACTAGGCACTAAAGCCTTCTCTAAACCTTGAAACCCTGTAAACCTCTAAGCCTTCAGCCCCAAGCCCTGAAACCGAAGTCCTCAATCCTGAGCCCTAACCTGCTCGGAAGCCTTGTGCTCCGCATGTGGAGATTTCCACCCAAGGGGTCTGCTAATCCACACTGGAGGCTTCGGCTTTAGCTGCCCTAAGAAAACAGACGCCCACATCCCACAGCTGAGAGCTTGGAGGGCCTCGAGCTTTTCTCATCCCGTGCCGCGGACGCCACACCTGTACATAGGCGACCTCTTTGCTTGCAGTGGAGAAGAACGGCTGCTAGGAGGTCAGTGCCCAGGTTGCCAGAGCTTCAATTCGGAACACTGAGCGCTCCCAGGGCTACATCGAATGCTCTGAGACCCTATGAACCTAAAGCCCTGGAGGGGCGGTTTCCTGAAGTAATCCATTAGCAACGCGCCGTTCCAAGCCAAAGAGGAGGGGACCCTCTCAATAAGCACTAAGCGATATGCGGACATAAGCCCTGAAACTCACAACTCCAAGTACACCTCCACTTCCCATTGTGTGTGTGTGTGTGTGTGTGTTTTTGCTTCTAAGGCTTCAGAACCTGAAAGAAGAGGTTCCCCACGCCTTATGCTCCACCCTCTATGGTCTAGGGTTAAATTGTTTTCGAGACTCGCAATAAACCCTACAGAGCTGCCTGGAATCCTCGAGCTGAGCCCCAAAACCAAAACCCTAAAACCCAAATCGTCCCAAACCCAAGAGCATAAATCCTACAACCCTCATGCCTGAAGACTCCGCAAGTCCTATGCCAAACCCCCGAAGCATCTAAGACAGAGGGCCCAGAATTAGGGCTTAGGGTGGTTTTGGGTTGAGGATTGTCGCCTTGATAGGGTTGCGAGGTTACAGGGCCCATACTTCGTAGGTGCTTGCGACACCTATGAGGAAAGTTCGAGTTTGCGAGCGTTTCCTGGAGTTTCGGAGAGGGCTTGAGGTATTTTGGAGCTCCCGCCACGCAGGCTGCACCCTCTTGCTGCACAAGGCGCCCGAAACAAACCCTAAAACCCTAAGACCCTGAACCCAAAACCCTACAACCCCAAAGCCCTAAAACCCTAAACCCCCTACAAGGGTAGCTAATATAGGAGTCGTCCCTTTGGGCCCCGATAAATTGACACAAAAACACCCCTCCCCAAAACCCTATTCTAATTATTTCGGCCCCTGTATTGGGGGGTTTGGGTTTAGCCCCTCCACCCCAAAGCCCACAGCCCGGAGCGCGAACCCGTCTTAAAACCGCAAACCCCAAAGCCCTAAACCCTCAACTGCCCTATACCCTAAACCCTAAACCCTAAACCCTGAACCCTAAACCCTAAACCCAATACCACTGGTCACTGTAGCAGGACTTCATGCCTAGGCTCTAAAGGGGGCGGGTGGAGGGGCCCTGTGAAACTGCCCATCGCGAGAAGCCTCGCGCGGGTGTCGACTTGAAGGTTACTGGGTAGCTATGAGTGCAGCTAACGTATAGCTTGCAACTTATATGAAGCAGGGTATATATTACTGTTCTTGGTGAGTGTATATAAGGTTCCCTTTTCATATTGGTGAGTGTATACTGGGTGTCCTTTTGGGGGTACAAGAAATATGTACCCTACTTCATATAACTTAGAGCTTCCAGATTCCCTGAAGTCTCGTCGCTGTTGCTACGGTTCCTAAGGGTGGGTAAGGACCCGGCACTGAAGCCCCCCAAATCCGAACCCGCTGCGGTGCACACAATGGCTTCTAAGAAGTGAATCTCAGGAAGCCCTCAAGCCCAAGACAAGACGAGAATGCGGACTCCAACGGTCTCATCACTCATGGTTTGGGATGTTCCCCCTTATACTAACAGTCCTATGATAGGGGGTACCAGAATCCTTACTAAGGACTGTAGGATAAGGGGAACATCCCAACTCATGGTGTCTATAGGGCTTTAGGGGGAAGGGCTTGGGTTGTTACTTTTTGTTAGTAGAAGGCCACTCTTCTGTTTCTTGTGCTAGGATTTTACTTTGAGCGTGGCTGGTGGATTCCCTGATGAAAGTAAGCCCCTGATTTCTTGTGCTAGGGTTTCGCAGACGCGACGTGCTAGGACGCCCAGTAGTGCCCTCATTCACGCTTATCTCTTATGAGTCTAAGTTAATAAGCAAGCAGGGATGATACAGTGACACCGCTGGATAGCTAAGCGGCAATTCCAGGTCAGGGTGCCCTGCATTTCTTAAGTTGAGTTGAGGCACCTTTTTCTCCCAGAAATGCAACCCCACCCCTTGACGGTATACTTCATGTGGGTGGTTGTCAAAATTATGGTCCCTTTTTGGATCCCTAGTATAATACGGCACCTAATATTTAGGGTACCCCAAAAGGGATCATAATTTTGACAGCCACCCAATTCTTAATTGCAGAGCAGAGGGATTGAGCAGGTCATGGTGAGGGTTCGACAAACCCAAAAACAAAATCACGAACATCTCAGCTTGCCTCACACACCTAAGCCCTCAGCCCCTAACTCCCCCAATCCCCTATCCACTTGATGTGCGACGAGCTCGACTGGCTCAAGTTGAGTGTCATCGGCCACAGCTCCGCGGCAGTTCGGGAAGATGGGCCGGTTGACCCAGTGTTCCACCTAGGCTTTAGGGCCTGGGGCTTCGGGGTCTAGGGTCCCAGCCACTAGCTGGCGTTGGTCTCGAGGTTTACACGTTATGAGATGGTTTGAAAGGGGTAGAAGCCGGCCTTGGTAGTGGTGCTTTCCACAAGAGAAGTGGCCATAATCCGGCCCGAGGATCCGAATTTAGGTGTTGGTCGGCAGGGCTGAGTTGCGCAGAAGTCGGGCTGGGATTTTTGGTGTTTTGGAGTGTAAGATGTACTGCAGGCTGCAGCGCTCGTCTCATGTTTGCGAGCGAAGTAGGGGGAAGGAGGTCATTGAGAGCTTGAAGGCTCTGCGGAAGTCATAAGTGGGTTGTAAGCACCCCAACTATGGGGATTCAGTGCTGTATCTTTGTGACGGTACTTGAAAGCTAAGCTGTGCTATAACCTCGAACCAGGAGACTCCTATCACTTCTCGGGGGTCCTACAGAGAATCCCAAACAATTCTTGTCACCAGTGGTTCTTTGTGGGGAAACAGGGGGGTTTAAATGGGAACCTCTGATGCGCACGGCCGGGGCCGGGAGAATTCAGGTAACTATGAAAAGTCAGTAGGGCTTCCCACAGCAGAGTTCTTCGAGCCCCGCAATCCGAAAAGCCGTAATATGTATGTATGTATGTATATATATATACACAAATACGATGCATATATATACATATATACATACACACTTATGCATGTGTAAATGCATATGTATATGCCACCACATATAGTGAATTTTGAGATGGGCGAGCTGAGGTGACCTGGGTTTGTGGACTGTCGTCGGCGGCGCCGACAAAGGTGGAACCTGGGTGGTCGATAGGGACTTACATGACTACGAATTGCTTAAGAACCCCCCAAAGTATAATAGATAAATCCTCCTTATAAAGGCAATTATAGGGATTGTTATTCCATTTTCTGGGGGTTTTTAAGCACTTAGTAGATGAGCAGGTCCCTAAAGCCTTAACAGTTCCCGAATATTCAGGGGAATCTCCCCAACCCACATCTTCAAGTACAAAGATATTTGTCCAAACAAGCAGGCAGCACACAAAGCCTCGCCTCCAAAATATCTCCAAACCTCCGAGCTTAAGTAAGTTGACCCAAACTGGGCCCGCACGGCCCCGCCTCGTTCCCAGATGCAGAAGCTCAAAGCAGGTACAGTGAGTACCTGGGGTGCCTACCTCACAATGTTGATGAAGCACTACTTTTGAGGCTAGTCCTAGACTCTACAACCTTAAGTCCCAAACCCTCAGACTCTCAGGCCCTGGCTTGCACAAAAAGGTCCTAATTCCGACTTTCAGGGCGCAGAGGTTGGGCTATCTCCTCCCCAGAACCAACAACATCTCGCTCCAGCCTCAGTAGACGCACTCCCAAACCTAAATCTCCTGAAGCCCTAACCCTAAACCCTAAACCCTAAACCCTAAACCCTAAACCCTAAACCCTAAACCCTAAACCCTAAACCCTAAACCCTAAACCCTAAACCCTAAACCCTAAACCCTAAACCCTAGACCCTAGACCCTAAACCCTGCTCATACCCTCCCAAGCAGGCGGCATTCTTGTGCGCACCGACCGCGAGCTGGGCTCGGACTCCGCCCCACAGCGTCTGGCCACCGGAGCGACGGCCGGGCATCCCGGGGGTCTGAAGTGACTTGAAGGGTTTGTAGGGTTGGGTTTAGGGTTTAGGGTTTAGGGTTTAGGGTTTAAGGTTTAGGGTTTAGGGTTTAGGGTTTAGGGTTTAGGGTTTAGGGTTAGGGTTTAGGGTTTAGGGTTTAGGGTTTAGGGTCTAGGGTTTAGGGTTTAGGGTTTAGGGTTTAGGGTTTAGGGTTTAGGGTGTGTCAGGGGAGGGCGCGCGCTCGGGTGTGAAGCACCCCGGGCCGCGCGCTCGCGTTGCCCGTCAACCCACCCCGGCCACCCACACTATACTTTATTAGGGTTTAGGGTTTATGGAATTTCTTTTCTTGTGCCCCGATGCTTGCTTGTTATGTTTTTAAAGTTGCGGTGTTAGGGTTTAAGCTGGGGTTGGGGGCAGCCTCGGCCCTTTTCGGGCCTTGGGCGTGTCCCTTTTTTATTTGAAGGTCAGGGAAACCCTTTGTGCCGGCTCCTGGATTCCCCTTCTTTAAGGGCCTCAGGCCTTTTTGGTGGCTTTTGGGGGCTTCCTGGGGGCTTTCCTGGCCGCTTTGATGTTTTGAAAGTTGCGGTGTTAGGGTTTTAAGCTGGGGAAGGGGCGTAGCCTCGGCCCTTTTCGGGCCTTCGGCGTGTCAGGGCCCGTAGAGGCCCTTATTTATTTGAAGGTCAGGGAAACTTTTGAAGCCTTTTAGTGGCTCTTGGGGTCTCT